AAAGCACATGTTTCAGGTATGAAAATGTTTCATATATACTAATAATAACTATATACTTGTTCCATTCTTATTTAGTTGCAATAGTTTGAATTTTATATTTGTCTACCCCGGCAATTTTTGCCACTACTGTTTAATTGGCTATTCGTAAAAAAGATAAATATAATCATATTTTGATATTTTACATTGAAACAATTATCACAATAATTTTCATAATGTGACTTTTTAATACATTACTAAATAAAATGCAGTCAACTTAGAGTATGTGAATAGTGCAAAAGTCAAAACATTACAACTAATAAAAGAACGGGGGTCCTAACTCCTAAGTGCTCGAAATACTACCCCTCCAAATTCCAATCCACTTAAAAAAAAACAGCCATCCGAACAGACCCTAATGCTCAGTCTGGATGGAGGACTTTGGAGGTGAAGGGTTTGGAGGGCATAGTCTATATCCTGTCAAATAGAAGATTTTTTAGAAGGTAATAAAGGGCGATTCGCGTTTATATGATGATCATTCATCATCATCATCACCCCATTGCCCAAAGGCTTCCACCTACGGTGGGTTATGGGGGTCGGATGTTAGCAGTATTACCCCTGTACTAAAGCAACATAGATAGACTGTTTCTAGATGAACCATAGTGAAAATTGCGTCCAAATTTGCATGGACTGACTATTGCTTCATATGATAAAAGCGCATATAGTTTAGTGAGCCATTTTGCTTTATCTCATTACATTCTCAAGCCAAAAAATAGTGAATCTTTGGCTCCTTTTCAAAATGATAGACAAATTTATATGATGATGCATTACATAATTTATTCAATTTTGTAAAAATCTCAAATATGTATCAAGATATAACCTAGCCCTCCAAAATCCTTGATCCAAAGTCCAAACTGAACGATAATGTATGTTAGTGAGTTAAATTTGGGATTATGAGGGGTAGGAAGCTGTTATTTTTTATATCAGCATTAAGAGAACTATTTAAGATTTATGGTAATAAATAAATGACTAGGACATTGAAACTATACTAAATTTTCATTTATATCTTTTTATTTGAAAATATTATTACGTCAATTGAATATAACCATTCTCTCATCCCCTCCAAATTATCTCCCAAGCATACTCTTAGTGTAAGCTTAGTTTCCTGTACATCACACATTGTTGGGTGATACGTAGTATATGTTTATTTCTAAGAGCAATGGCTTTTTTGTGAATATTATTCGTAATTAGAATACCCTAAGTCCCTAACTTATGGCAGCATCTTGTAGGCATAAACCTTTTCGTAATAATAGAGCGAGTTTGGGAAGGGACAGTATGACTTGAGAAGTTATTGACTGGAAGGTACTTTAAAGTTTAAAGAATGATCATTTTTTTAGTTACTGGTTCCTGTAAAAGATACTGACATATGTTGCACATCTTAGAAATGTCGGTTGCCAATAGTATATTTAGGTTGTATCGTTATCGAATGAGAGTTGGTTAATCACATAATTAGGGCTAGTAAGATTAAATCCCAAGTTTATATTATCAAACTTGATTGGTTTTATAGCTGCTGGCCTGTATAGGTACCAGGGTTACCCAATGTATTTTCTGAATGTGGAATTGTGGATATGTATCACATCATTTTTTAACTATTACGAGTAACAAGCAACTTTACAGTTTATACTGAAGTTGTGATAGGCGTTTAAGTTTTATAAGGATTGATTCAAACAAGATTTTGAATAAAGGGGAAGCCCGGTGGCATTGGTGTCCTGCAAGGAGAGGGTCCGGGGAACGTTCCACCACACGGGTGTATAAGAAGCAAACATTCCCTTGTCATTTTGACAAGAGAACACTTCCAACTTTCCAAGATTTGAACCCATGACCTCTTGGTCACACAACAACGCCTTAAACAAACAAACAAATAAATCAATCATCATTATCTACCCTAGTGCTGCAAAGGCTCCCACCTACGGTGGGGTAAGGGGGGTCGGATGTACGTAGTCTTACCCCTGTATTAAAGCACTAAAACACAGAGAGACTGTTTCTGAATGACCTATAGTGAAAATTGCACCGAAAATTGCATTGACTGGCTGTTACTTCATAACAAAGAAGTGTAGACAGTTTAGTGAGCCATTTTGCTTTATTCCATCATATTCCCAAGACAAACAAACAAACAAACAAATAAATAAATAAGATGCAAATACACCATTAATATCTACCTCTAGGTGCAGAATGGTCCCTACCTTCTTTTTATGTTCAAACCATACCCTTGGTGTTTCCCATATTGTGCATATTTTCCCTTATTGGCATTATATATTGAACAAGTCTTTTCAAATCCCTTTAAAAATTCATTTAATATATTGAGTGTGAGATTACCAAATGTTTTTTTTACTATGGATGTTTTTTACTTGGACTTTTTTCAGTCCCAGACTAGACCTAAACAGACTGGACTAGACTAGACTTAAACAGACCAGACTTGACTTTCGTGGTTATAAAATACACCGAGACCAGACGTTTACCAGACCAGACTAGACCAAACTTAAACAGACCAGATCAGCAAATTACAGTCCAAAATATAAACGTCCTAGTTGGTATTAAAGTTTTGATTATGATAGTGGCAATATCGTAAATTTATGCCATTTGCTTCTTTTTCTTATTCTAGGGGTGTTTGGAATTGATATTGTGTCTGCTTCTTTTTTAAAAGTAGAAGTAGAATTAGATCAGTTTTGAAAAGCTATTCTTCTCTAGCTTCTAAAAATCTACTTCTAGTAGCATTTTTGAGCACTCAGAAGTACATATGTACTTTCACCCAAACACTCCAATATCTATTTCTGCTCCCTGAAAGAGCAGAAGTAGATATACACACACCCTTTATTTTTTTTAAGAAAGTATATGTTTCTATGTGTAAACAGTGCAAAATTAGTATTATTAATGAGAATAATTTATGAGGAGATAGTGATAAACGTTAAGGTTGTAAGGGTGTACTTGGACTTTTTCTCTCCCCAAAATGAGGTTCCTGTTTCCTTTGAAGGAAATAATTCTGTGGTGCATATAATTTCTTGTCAACTGTATTTTGGGACTGTCATCTTTAAAATGCCAACTGTATGAATTATTATACCAGACAACATTTATTCTGCCATTAAAGTGACACACCTGTATCTTGTCTCAAAGGTACAACCATGTATGACAATGGTGATGTGCAAGTCACAGTGACAACCAGTGAGATTTCTCGTGGGCAAGAGGATTTGCCAGTGCTAACCTCACCGCCAGCACCATATGAACCCTCCTGTGAAACCAAAGATGCCAAAAGGAAAAAGACCACTGTAAGTAAGAAGAAGCCAATGAAGAAAGTTAGTAAAAGGAAATCCCGGGCAAGGCCACAGAGCAAGAGGGATAAAAGGAAGAAAGGGAAGATGCCAAACAAGAATAGCTAGCTAGCCACAAAGTTTGTCGTGGCTCTCTTGTAGTTTCTGAAAGATCAGAGCCACTTAATGTAAAACAATGCGGCAGTTGGGATGTACGAAGTATTTAATCTACTTGGTATAATTTGCTACTTGGGTCATACATTTTTGTCACTGATTATGGGCTTATGGCTTCTTTGATCGAGATGACATCTATCTGCATGTTGTATACTAAAAATGAATCTCTATGTGACAAAGAAAAGAGTCTGTTGGTGTTGAGACCTGGAACCCGCTTGATAACACTAAAACCGGCTGAATCTGTTGAAATTAATGAAATTTAAAGTGTAAAAGTCCTTTTAAGTTTATTAAGTTTATTTTTATTTTAAAAGTAGTCTTATTTCTTTTCTTAAATTTTCCATTAGCATAATTTTTGTCGTAGAAACTAAGTTAATTTTGATTTACATATCCTATTTTTAATTACAAATTTGGGTTTTAATAATGTTTTATTTCAGTGCGTTTTTATTTAATTTATAGGAGTAAATTGTTTCACCTCGGTTCGATCTATGATAATCAGAGCCCGTTTGGTAGCTCGGCTTATCAAGCTTATCAGCCAACTTGTTTACCAAACACGTAATTTTTGATTTTCCGCGTTGAATTGCGTAATAATAATAAAAAGCACTGTTCTAAAAATCGTTCTAGGTGCCCGACTAGTCCCCGCCTAGGTGCTAGGCGGTGGCCGGGCGCCTCGATTTTTGCCTAGGCGCTCCGAATAATTGGTTTGGCACCTAGGTGAATTAGTCGGCCGCTTAGGGTGCCTAGTTGCCCGTCCAGAGCGCTTAATCGCCGCCTAGGACGCCTTGATTCGTCGAACAATTTTTTTTAAATTTTTTTTATTTTTGTAAGAGATAAATGTATCTTTAACTTTAATCACAATTATGAGGAAATATACTTGTAAATTAAGATAAAAACTATATATGTTTGTATATATAGTAAAATATTATTATTGTTTAATATTTATAACATAATGCAATTAATCATATATTATTGCATGTTACAATTCTATCATTCATGCATGTTAATGTGTGTATATATTTTTCATACACACAAACACGACACTACAGTTTTACTTTGTATTACTTATCATATTTATGCAAAAATATTCATAAAAATACAATTTTTGCGTCTCCGACTAGTCCCCGCCTAGGCGCTAGGCGCTGGGCTGACGTCCGACTAGTGCCTAGCGCCTTTTAGAACATTGATACAAAGTAAGGTTAAAGTTACTCTTTTGGTTGTATTGTCTAAAATTATTGTAGATGATTGTTTTAGCTATTTTTACATATAATTTTTTCTTTATTTTATTAATAAAATATATTTTAAATATATTTTTCCAATAAATAGGAATCTCAATATATTAAGGAATTTTTGTAGTACCACAAGGGTTCTCAATCTCAAAGCCGAACTGGGTATGATTAATATTGATCATCGCGTAGGCAGAGTCCGATTTAGTCAAACTGAGAACAGTCAAATTAGTTACTGTAGCTAATATTGCTTTTGTAAAAAAAAGGAAAAATGGAGAGAGTTATCTACTCCGTATATGCCACGCCATTATAAGAAACTGGAAAAAGTAGAAAACATCATGCGGCAGCTAGCAGACAGTGACAGACTCGTAGGCAGCGATAACTCCGAGATTCTTCTTTGAACTTTCAAGGAAAGCTCCCTGGCTTTCAATCCCATACTCCCGCTTTCCCCTTCTCCTTCGTCTTTCCTTTTCGCCGAACACCCTTTTTATCCTTTTGCTGTTTGCAATCTTTATTCCTTTATGAACTTTGTCGATTGCAAACAAATTTAGTGTAATAAATACGAGAGGTTTCAGATCAGATCTGAAGAGCAGAGGAAGTGGTTTGAGGCAGTGTCCGGTTTCTGCGAAGATGCAGACTAGGCACATGGAAAGGTCATCTAGTATGGCCCGAGAGAAACGGGCTTTGGATCCGGGTAGTGGCTCAGATGATTCTCAGCCCGACAGGAAACGCCCTGCTCTTGCCAGGTAATTTACACACTACTTCTCTTCTCTCTCCCCCCACTATCTCTCTTTATATATCCATGGATCTCTCTCACTTTCTATTATGGTTATGTAAGTGTGTTAACAAGACATGAGCTTTGCGTTCGTATTGGTGGAAATGGAATAATGGGTTTTGCTTATTGCTACGCATCTTTAGTTCCTTAGGTAGAATTTAGTAATTTACCTCCAAATCCAGGATGACAGATCGTTGGGTTGTTCATTTTTCTGGTCGGGTTGTGTTTGGTTGTTGTGAAAGATGAGTTAACGAGAAGAATCGATCTCATAGTATTCCATGAGGTTCTGCTTTTTGGTTTGTTAAAGAAAGCATGTCTTCCCTAATGATCTTGCTATGTAAGCTTGAGGATACATGCTGAGTATGAAGGGCATAGCGATATTATAGTCAGTTTATTAAGGCCTCCAATTGGCATTCTCTTGGAATTCTTGTTTGTGATGATTGTGAATTTGATTCATGTTAGCTGACCCCAAAATCTTTTGGGACTAAGGCTTGGATGTTGTTGATGATCGGGAATTTGAAACACAGAAGTGGTAGAATGTCTACCTGATCAAGAATTTCCGGAATTGCCTACTGTGTGAAGCATTTCTTGAACACTTTGAATGCATACAAAAAGGTGGGTATTGGATAGTAATCTAAACTGGTTGTCTGGTTCAACGCATCACGTGAGCATGTATGTGTTTGGAATATCTGGCCTCCACTTCTCAAATGTGGTGGGCATTACCAACAACAAACAGCTATAACTCCGAAGTTCAGAATATGGATGGCATTCCAGATTTGAATCAGCGTTATCATATGACTTCCAACAATGGAAGAACAGTGGTGATTTTTCCCAACCTCAGAAGGAAATTTATTAAGAGTGATGATATGTGGCACTTTAACTTGGCACTATATGGCGGAACTTTCAACCATCTGCCATCAGTAACGCTGATTTGAACATAGAGGCAGTAGGCATTGCCTGAATTTAGACAGCAATATCATACTGGTTATTTCCTGAATTGTCTTACAAGAAATAACTCGGGATTTAAGTAAAAAAGGATGGATTAGATGACGAATCTTTATAATATGTTTATGATTTAGACAGCAATATCATACTGATTATTTCTCTAATCTAATTTGTTAGCTTTATTTAGATTCGCCAAACAGCTGAATTGCTGAATTATTTCATAAAGAAACCCCCTTGGCCTAGTTGATTGTTTATTGATAATGTTACTACTGCAGTGTTATTATTGAAGCTCTGAAGGTGGACAGTCTGCAGAAACTTTGCTCATCACTGGAGCCAATTCTTCGGAGAGTTGTATGTTATTTTTCCCTAAAAGTAAATACTTAAATACATGATTTATATGCCTTAACAAAACAGGGGGGAGGGAGGTTCCTATAGTGTTGTTAAGACAGGTACTTCGAAAATACTATACTACAGAAAGGGTAGAAACCACATTGTTGTCCACTACTTTTATTTGTATCATATCTTTTTCATTATTTTAGAAAACAAAATAAAGGCAGAAATCCGGCCAAAAGTGTTATTAGGTCGGAGCAAACCCTAACATCTATATGTAAGGGAAACATGTTTCCAGTGTTTTTTAATTCAATGTATTGTCTCTCTTATGTACAGGTTAGTGAAGAAGTAGAGCGTGCATTGGCTAAGCTGGCCCCCTCCAAAACTAATTCAAGGTTTGGCTTCACATATAATTTGCTGATGTGTTTAATTTTTCGCCTCTTCTGGATGCTGGTTTTTAACAGCTACACTCTGGGAAGCTGGTTAACAGTATTCTATCAAAACTGTCTATATGTTCTGGCCTCTACTAATGGACTGTGTTATCTAATCGAAAAGTACTCACCAAGTACTCACTACTCGGACATACACCTTTCCGAGTAGCTTACCTACTCATTCCGTTCCAAAACACCGAGTTAGTCACTTAGTCGCCGAGTAGTCAGCCATACCAAAATGCGACTTTCTTTTTTATTCGAAAGATTGAAACTAAAGATTGGGATTTGAAAAAAATAGGGACTTTTCTTAGAGTATGTTTGGGACTTTTCTTAGGGGATGGTTGAGAAGGGTTTATGACCCCCCCCCTCATGTTTGGGAGTTAAAAAATATGGAGGGGTGGTTTTGTAGGGCTTTTGTATCCCTCCAAATGCTCACTTTTCAAATTCCCCCAAATTGGAGGATTTTGAAGGATAACTAATTAAATGACAACTTTAGCTCAATTTTAATTATAATTCATTCAAATCCCCTATCTTTTTTCAAACTTGTTACTCCTAAACAAGAAGAAGGGTTTCCAATCCTTTCCCTTCCCTTCCAATGACTAACCGTGAAAACCTTCCCGTCCCCTTCCCTTCAAACTCCCTAACATACCCTTAGTAAACAGAGAAAGAACATTAGAAAGTCTGTTTTGGAAGCATTAACATCTAAAATATCACATAAAGGCTTTATGCCTTTATGTCTTGGTGAGTTCTCTGTCTTCTTCTAAATTTTCTGCTTCATGGACTTCTTACTACAAATTTTGTTGTTATTATCGTTATTGTTATTTTCCAGTAATTTTGTTATTATATATTACTCCCTCAGTCCCATTTTATAAGATATCTTTCCTATTCACTTGGTCAACACAAACACTCTTAATCTATTACTTTATATATCAAAATTTTATGAAATTTGAATTATTTTTTGCAGGTTTTGTAGCGATTTTAATGTAGTTTCTTAACATGTAAATTTTATTTTCTAAAACTAATTTGAGTTTTGACAGGGATCAATTTGCTTTATCGTCGGTCAAACATCATAAACCGTAAAGTGCCTTATAATTTGGCACGGAGGGAGTAATATATATGAGTAATATGCAGTAATAAATTCTTCTGACAAGTCTTACAAGAAATAATCTTGTAGTATGATGGATTATTAAGTAAAAAAAGGATGGATTAGATGACAAATCTTTATAATATGTTTATGATTTATACTAGTTGCTATGGGTTATTCTTTTCTGCTTTGTGTATAAGACTTATTAGACTAATGTTACTATATTGTGGCATATTAAAAAAAGATACTTGTACAAGAACGAGTAATCATCTAGCAATAGGTCCTACTCGCTACTCGACGCTTGACCGAGTTGCCGCAAAATAGCTATTTAACTACTTAGCTCATGGATCAAGCCTAATCCCTTATTAAACCTTGTTTGGTTAGGGAATTTCACGGAGGGGAGAGAGTAGAAAAGTATATGTTTGTGTGGGGATGTAACTAATGTAAGTGGAAAGGGGAAGGGAAAGGGGTGGAGCTATAGGCTCCTCTAAATTCCTCACATGTCTCTCCCCCAATTTGAAGGTTTTGAGGGAATGGTTCTTTCTCAAGTTTTCATCAACCCTTTTTAATCAAAGTTACTCTTCATTATTGATATAAAGATATATTCTTATATGTTAATTCGAATAAATTTTATCAAATACTGAGTATAATAGTGCCTCCCAAAATAAATGTCGCGCTTTACCATGGTACAGTTTTTTAATCTTAGTAGAGTGCAACTAATGGAAATCATAACTCATAAGTTCTAGCTATACCTTTGATTTATCAAATGCCAATTATAATATGCCATTGCACTTATCCGGTTTGGCTTTCGTCTCCATTCTATACACTGTAACTTTAATTTTACAGGGTTTCTCCAAAAAGCATTGAAGGGCCTGGCAGAAGAAATTTACAGCTCCAATTTAGGTCCAAATTATCCTTACCTCTCTTTACAGGAGGGAAGGTTGAAGGAGAACAAGGTTCTGCACTCCATGTTGTCTTGCTAGATGGAAACACGGGCCGTGTCGTAACCTCAGGCCCAGAGTCATCTGTTAAATTAGACATTGTTGTGCTTGAAGGAGGCTTTAATAATGAAGAAGAGGATGGTTGGAGTAGAGAAGAGTTTGAATCTCATATAGTGAAAGAACGTGAGGGAAAGAGACCACTTCTGACTGGGGAATTGCAAGTGATATTAAAGGAGGGTGTAGGTACCCTTGGGGAGCTGACATTTACAGACAACTCCAGTTGGATCCGTAGCAGAAAGTTTAGACTTGGTTTGAAGGTCACTTCAGGCTATTGTGAGGGTATTCACATTCGTGGGGCTAAAACAGATGCATTTACTGTGAAGGATCACAGAGGCGAATGTGAGTTTACTTAATATTTTTGTTTCTTTTTGTGGGATTCTTTAAGGGTATGTTTGGTTGGAAGGTTTTGAAGAGGTTTGGAGGGGAAGGGTTTGGACTTTGGAGGTATTAGTATATTTAAATGTCCTAAAAATTTGAAATTTTACCATAATATGTGATCATATGACATTTCAATCTTCTTTTATTCATTTTTAGAAGCAGTATTATATTAATCAAGATATGGACTAAAACCTCCAAACTCCTCGCCTTCAAACGCCTCCATCTAAACAGACCCTAACTAAATAACATTATCCCCCCATCCTAATGCATTTACATTTTGTGTTCTAAAAAATGTCCCAAAATAGGTGTCATTTTAGGAGTTCAATATAGAATTTCAACTTCTCTTCGACATCTGCCCCTATTTAATTTTATTCAATTAAATAATACGGTGTAATTGATTGCAAGGTATGTGTTGAAAACAACATCTCGAACATTACGTCTTTACATAATAACTCTGTATGTTGTATCTTGAGATAAAATGGCAGAGTTTGAGAACAAATTGATAGTTTACAAGAACTATTAATAATAAAGAGAGCTTTAAGACCTTATAAATATGGGTAGATAATTTTTTATGTGATTCCTGATTTTATGTGAAACTTACTAAAAATACATGATTTGGCACCGAGAGAGTGTTTTATTTATGATGATCCTGTCTAACTTTGTAATTTAAGTGTGCAGTGTACAAGAAACATTACCCGCCTGCATTAAGTGATGATGTGTGGAGATTGGAAAAGATAGGGAAAGACGGGTCTTTTCACAAGAGGCTGAATAAATCTGGAATACACACGGTGGAAGACTTCCTAAGATTTGTTGTGAGGGACCCACAGAGGCTTCGAAATGTAAATATCTTAGTTTTTTTGTTGTCCATGTTACAATCTGCAAATACAAGTTTTCATTCTATCATTATTTGGCATAGATCATGGGGAGTGGAATGTCAAATAAGATGTGGGAAGCCCTTGTGGAGCATGCAAAGACGTGTGTATTAAGTGGAAAACTCTATGTCTACTATCCTGATGATCTGAGGAATGTTGGAGTAGCATTTAACAATGTCTATGAATTGTGTGGTTTGATTGCTGGTGAAGAGTATCTTTCTGTTGATTCTCTTTCAGATCATCAAAAGGTTGGTTACCCCCCTCCCCTCCAGAAAGAATTTCAAGCACGATTGCTTGTTTTTTATCCTTTACTACTCCCTATGTCTAAAAAAAGTTCTCATTTCATAATAAATGTACAATCATTTCTAATTTTGGGAAGGTACAAATCTCGTAAATGACTTCAATTTTGTTGACCATCTTAAAAATGGGTAACCGCTAAAAGCTTCATTTGATTTTTATTTTGCGAATACTTTTTTTAACCATCTACTTTCTTATTTACATTTCAAAAATATCATTTGTAAGCACAACTTTTTTAGTTTTGGTAAGATACAACTCTGGTAAATGAGTTCCCTTTTCTTCACCTCTTTAAAAATGGGTAAAACGTATCGGAGAGTATAATGCAATGGAGATATTGGAGGGTGAAATATATGGTTTAAATATTTGAAATTAATTATTCTCTACTGTTGGAACTAAGGGAAGCCTTGGTGCACCGGTTAAGGTGTTTCTGTTTGACAAGAGGTCATGGGTTCAAGTCAAAATTTGATAGGGGAATGCTTCCCCTTGTACACCCTTGTGGCGGGAACCTTCCCTTAACCCTCGCGTTGTGGGGTGCTTTCATGCACCGGGCTGCACTTTTATTTTTTTAATATATTTTGTTGTAGGATTTATTAAAAGATTAGAATTAAAAAAATCTAGATATGTAATTTATGTTTATGATTTATGAAATATATGTTTCAAATATTTTCTTGCTTATTTATATTTAAAACATATTGTGTGTGTGTGTATATATAATTATATTATATACATGCATACATACATACATACATACATGCATACACATGTGTGTATGTGTATTTGAATGTGTATGCAATTGTGCATATGTATGTGTGTGCACGCACATTTATGAGAGTTATACTCATATTCAAAGTTGCTGGAGAATAGTACAAAAGCAGAAAAAAAAAATCAAACTTCAGGTTTTAAACCATTTTTTGTCATCTAAATTAGACAGTTGTGTGCTCATACTTCATACTATATGGAGGGGGTGAACAAAATTAAACCCTTGGTAAATTGTTAATAACATTTATGTTTGCTTTTAAAGTAAAGTTAAAGAACTTCGAAGAGGAAATGTGAAAGTAGAAATTTGCAGGTGTATGTGGACACATTAGTGAAGAAGGCATATGAGAATTGGATGGATGTGGTTGAATATGATGGCAAATCTCTCATGAGCCTCAATGGAAAGAAGAGGTCGGGTTCTTCTCAAGATGACCACAAATCTGGGTCGCAGAACCATTCGAACTCTTTCAACCATCAGCTCAATAATGTCCCAAGTCTCTCACCCTCAATTTCTTCTGAACAGTCTTCTATGGAACCAGTATTGAAAGTCGTAGGTAAAAACATGCACTCTAGTCTTTCAGTTTTCTGAGTTGCATATTTTATTTGGTTAGTAATATGTTTAAAAACCCAAGAAACTTATCCCAAGTTCGATTAGTGAAAACCCCTAATTTCATTCTTATACTTCCTCCGTCCCATTGGACTTTGCCAACTTTTCTTTTTTACTTGTCCCAAAAAACTTTGCCATTTTCCTATTAAAGTAACTAATTTGTGGTTCTGCACATTTCTCTCTCCTCTTCACAAATTTCAACCACACAGTTTTTACTATTCTTATTTTTCACCTAACTTGCACTTGGCAAAGTCTACCGGGACGGAGGTAGTATGAAATTGCCTAATATTGTAACCAATAGTGCTCCCTCCCACCCTTGAATAACCAACAATTTCATTTAATGGCATTTAAAAAAAAATCCCATCTATGCTTCATTTCATAAGTTTCTTTTATTAAAGTGCCATACTACCCCTCATTTTCTCACCTTAAAAATGTGCTATGTGAAGGACGTCTGAAATGCATCCCAAATGCATTGGTGAAGTTCTTCCAAGGAGAGAGAGAATAAAAAAAGTTATGAAAAAAATTTGTGAGAAACAAATACTACGTAACTGTGAAGGCTTACTTGTGTATCCCAAAGAGTACTGGCTAAATATCTCTAATCTCTATATTAAATTGGAGTGTGCAACTCCATGAATCTCGATGTGCATCATTCTGCATCACTCTCACCAGAATTTGCATCATTCTCACTTTTCACGGAAAGAAGCATTCTCACGGAACCGGATTATATAGTTTAATGACTTTAACAGTTTTTTTTGCTTTTGCAGGATATAATCACAATAATGGTAGCAGATTTGCCATAGAACCCGATAACATGAATGTAAACACGAACGTACAGTTAAATGACGTTTCTTCTTACCAGAACCAGTTGGTGGTAGGTGGAACATCACGACAACAACCTCTGACTTGTGCAAATAATTACAATATGCTCAACAACAACAGCAGCAGCAGTTTCCTTTCTCCTACTCTTCCTTATAGGGGACCTGCAGATGATGATTTCTTCTTCACAGAGGAGATCCGTTTGAGAAGTCACCAGATGCTTGAGAATGAAGACATGCAACATCTCCTTCATATTTTCAACACTGGCGTCCATGCTGAAGAGAGTTATCCGGCGTATGCCACACACCGTGTTCCCGATACGCCTGTAGCATTTGGATTTCACGAGGAGCATTCACGCTCTTCCGGAAAAGCTGTTATTGGCTGGCTTAAGCTTAAAGCTGCACTGCGGTGGGGCATTTTTGTCAGAAAGAAAGCCGCTGAAAGGAGGAGAGCGCAGATTGTTGAATTGGATGAGTTGTAAGCTCTTCTACTCATTGACGAAGCAACAATGAAACACTTGCTCATGCCCACGTCTCTTCAGGACCAAAGTCCATATGGGCTCTGTGAGGGCCAAAGCCTGCAGCTATGGGGTGTTCAATGTCTCAGCATAAGCGCGTGAAGTCCTGCATTTATGAACCAGAGGATGTTATCTGTCTTCAACCATATATGTCTCATTGGAGTGAATAGCTGGATAGCATTTCAATGGCTTCCCATAGATAGCCTTGTAGTATTTTATTTGTTTTTTTTTTGTTTTTGTTTACCGTTATTACCCTATTGTATTGTGTGATATTCTTTTTCGTGGGGGTAATAAACTTGTTCAACACAGGTAGATGCAACGATTCAAAAGCCATTTGTCTTTGTTTTGTCATGTATCCGTGGCTTTTAGACCTATTTCCCTACAAAATTTTCAATCTTTGGTGTCAATTTTGCAGAGCCAATTTGATCAACAAGTTGCCCATCAGGCCAATTTGTAACCCCCAACACAGGTTCAAGGTGGTTTACTCACGGCTGCTATACTGTCACCTCAAAATAAATCATCTTTCAAACATTATTGTCCTCCTGAACATCTTGGTAGAGGTGGACCTGCTCCATGGTCCCGGACTAGTCGGGATCGGAATCGGTTCGTTCATGGGACTGGACCTGCTCCATGGTCCCGGGCTAGTTTGGGTAAGTGACCGGTGCTCCACTGGCGCCGGTCCCGTGTTTGAATATTAGGGACCCATGCGACTCCTCATTCCCCAATGGCTATTTCATTCCCTCCCTCTTTTTTTTCGGGTCATGCTCCTCTCGATATCCTTCTCTCCGTTTACCTTCTCCATTTCTTTTTCACTCTCTCTCTAAAAAATAATAATTAAACATAATCTTTTGTTTTCTCTATCCCACCATTTCTCCACCTCTCTCTATCTCTCTCCTAATGGAGATTTTCGGTTAATGAAGAGGAGCGAAATTCCTTTTTTTCTTATTGGCTTCGTAATAGAACTGTTGGGAGGGGGGATCTTGGAGCCTCTTTCAATAGTCTGACGACACTTGGAAGTTGGGACCATTTGAGGGGTGGGGGTAGAGGTTATAAAAATCCATTAATACTTCATTTTCCCCATTTTTTCTACAACTCTAAAAAAAATACCTCTTTTCATATTCATATCTATATTTTCTCAGTCTTGTGTATTATAATTTCATATTCTTCATTATTCATGGAAATATCATCCAATACCACTCTGCAATGTTAACTCATCATGCTTTATAAATACGTTTACCAAATACATACCCTAGTATTTGGTAACCATTTTCATTTACCAAATACGTACCCTAGTATTAATGATAAATATTTTTTAGGCCCACCGAGGCCCACCGGCTCTGATAAAACCCCTAGCGTATAAATCATCTCATCTCACCCATAAAACCTCCATAAACCTTTTCTTGCCGCAAACCCTTTTGTTGCTCAACATGTCAAAACCCTTTTCCATGTCAAAACTCAGGAAAATCATAGCAAAAAATGGTCTTACAGTGAAAATCAAATTCCTAAAACGAATGCCTAAAGACGAAGCTGTGGTGCTATTGAACAACAAGCACGCTCAGCTTCACAAGCCCCATGCTCAGCAGCTTCACAAGCCTCTGGAAAAGCCTCTGCAAATGGCTAAACAAGGAGTTTATCTGTTTGAACGAACCATGAATACCATTTCTGGTATTCAAACTGCTGCAAAGATTCTGGGCCAGAAGCATGATGATATGCAGGAGAATGTGGTGGAAATCTTGAAAATAGTCCGGCAACAAGCCTCGTTTTATTAAAATACCATACTACCCATCGTTTTCTCACCTTAAAAATGTGCTATGTGAAGGACGTCTGAAATGCTTCCCAAATGCATTGGTGAAGTTCTTCCAGGGAGAGAGAGAATAAAAAAAGTTATGAAATAAATTTATGAGAAACAAATAGCTGTGAAGGCTTACTTGTTTATCCCAAAGAGTACTGGCTAAATATCTCTATAGCTCTCTCAAATGAAAAGCCATAATAGACCAAACTAGTTGAATATGATAAATATAGTTAACCAAGAAATAAATACAAAAATGAAGAGCCATAATAGACAAAACTAGTTGAATATGATAAATATAGTTAATCAAGAAATAAATACAAAAATGCAGCCAAGAAATAATAGATCGAACTATTTTCAAGATTTCCACCACATTCTCCTGCATATCATCATGCTTCTGGCCCAGAATCTTTGCAGCAATTTGAATACCGGAAATGGTATTCATGGTCCGTTCAAATAGATAAACTCCTTGTTTAGCCATTGCAGAGGCTTTTCCAGAGGCTTGTGAAGCTGCTGAGCGTGGGGCTTGTGAAGCTGAGCGTGCTTGTTGTTTAATAGCACCACAGCTTCGTCTTCAGGCATTTGTTTTAGGAATCTGATTTTCACTAGACCATTTTTGGCTGTGATTTTCCTGAGTTTTGACATGGAAAACGGTTTTGACATGTTGAGCAGCAAAAGGGTTTGCGGCAAGAAAAGGTTTGTGGAGGTTTTATGGGTGAGATGAGATGATTTATACGCTAGGGTTTTTATCAGAGCCGGTGGGCCTCGCTGAGCCTCAAAAAATATTTATTATTAATACTAGGGTTCGTATTTGGTAACTCAAACGACATGTTGCACACAAAATGTTTTCATTGTCATAACGTGTTGAGCTTGAAAAAACAAGAACATAACAGTTATGATACACTGCACAGGCATTTACATACTAAGCACTCAGCACGCGTTTGCGTAAGTGATAAATAAGCGTCGTGCACGTTTTTAAAATTTTCAAATGTTATGCCTTGTTTCATACAAATATTGAATAAAACTTTATATCCACCATCGTAGTATTGTTTTTAATTAGTTGTCTTGTCATCTATGATTGTTCGAAAGTTGTCATTTGTTATTAATTCTTACGTTTTGCATTCAAAATTTAGAGTCCTTGCGATTTTTTTTATCCTTGCAATATTCATTATTTTGTTTTTAGTCTATGTGTAATTCCGAATTCACCCTACTTACAAGCATAGTTATAGAAATCACCCTAATTACATATAAATCTACTAGAAATATTTAAATTTGTCCTTTTATAATTCTTTTGAGCCTAATCTGAGAGTTTAAAAACTATGTAAAAACTTTTTTTAAAGCACAATGTAAAACTATGTATTCACAGTTTAAAAATATATATTAAAAATCTTTTAAAAATAAAATCAAATACTTTTTGAATAATATGACAAAGAATTAGAGGAAATCTATAACCAAGCATTCCACCCCAGCTGGTTATGAGTTTACCGGACCTAGTGAGAGGTCTCGAGTTCAAAACCCGCTAGGCACATAAGAGTTTGAAATTCAATGGAGTGGATTTCAACCCTGATTACTACAACCCCCCCCCCCCCAACCCCCCTAGAGTAAAAAAAGAGGAAATCTATTAGTCGGAGTTAATTGAGATCAAGCGGATGTTAATGTCATCGGTGATGGGCTAAAAATAAAACCAACATAAATTGCAGGGACGAAAAACATCAAAATAATTTTGCAGGAACTTAAAACAAAATGTAGTATACTTATAGGAACTAAAAACATATTTAGACCATTTCTATAATATAGGTGTTGTTTGGAATTATCAAGTAATGGAAAAGAACTTGTAACAAATTAGAGGGAAAATTACATTATCTATCACTCAAATAATACCCACATTGAAATGTAATCATATATTTTTTGAGTTTATAAATGAAACCCCTTAATTCAGTAAATATGAACCTCGCCGTTAAATCAAAACTAACATCACAAATTTTTGTAACTTTTGACACAAATAGGGTCAGGGTTTTAATAAGGGAAAAGTACATAAAAGGAACATGTGGTTTGAGCCGTTTTCAGATAGGGGCACGTGTTTCATTTTTTAACAAAGTGGGACATGTGTTTCAATTCCGTTATCGCAGCAGGGGCATGGCATCTAACGCTGTTAGAAAATTTAACCCCGATTTTCAAAAGTCTCCGAAACATTAAAAGAAAACTATCGTTTTCTTTGAATTTTTCCGCTCTATTTGGATTATTTTTTAAAAATGAATTTGTTAATCACTTTTCTGGCGGATTTTTTGGCGACATGGTGGCTTATGCATGGACCCGGGCCGGGCTTCGGACTACTTAGTTTTTTTTTTTGTTTTTTTGGCTTTTCTACTTAACCCCCGACCCCTCCCCCCCAAAAGAAACACCCCAAAACACCCAGCTCCAACACAGAATAAACAAAATAAAATTAAAAAAAAACGGAACGGGGACCGACCGGGCCGGTTCGTCTTTTGGGTGACCCGAGCCCGCACTGTAAAGCCCTCGGGCCGGGCCTACCCGGACCGGTCCCTAGCCGGACCACCAGTTCAGGCCGGTTCCAAATAGGGCTAGGCCGGGCCGGTTCCAGGTCGGGCCACCCAGCCCGAGTCCAAGAAAGATAGTTTGTTGGTCTCCTTGACGAGGCGAACCTCCCAGTATTTTTATTTTAATATTTCGAAGACTTGAAAATCGGGGTTAGATTTTATAACGGCGTTAGATGCCATGCCCCTGCTAAATTGAAACAAATGTTGTTAAAAAATGAAACACGTACCTCTATCTGAAAAGGGCCCAAACCACATGTACTGTTGGTAATAATTAGGAACACTAAAATAATGTATTGTTGAAAATGTAAAATTAGTAGGATAGAAATTAGAAAGTAGGTAGAATAATAGAAAAATATGGAACAAAAGGAAAAGTCAAGAAAACCAAACTTTTGGAACACTAATAATTAGGAACACTAAAAAAATGTATTGTTGAAAATGTAAAATTAGTAGGATAGAAATTAGAAAGTAGGTAGAATAATAGAAAAATACGGAACAAAAGGAAAAGTCAAGAAAACCAAACTTTTGGTTTAAAGTTCAAACTAAGTAAATTTATTTAATAATTGTTGACATTTATCATAAAACATTGTTCAAATTCTTTTTTATTTATTCTCCTGAATCTGTGTATCATACGTAGTACAACATATACTAAATAGTCATGGACCCGATTCGGGCCGCCCGGGCCAGGACCGGCCCGGCTCCCTACTGTGCGGAACCGGAACCGGCCCGCTACTGTGCGGAACCGGAACCGGCCCGGTTCTCGGGTCCGGGTACGGGTCGGGCCTAGGCCCGGTGGTGGGCGGGTCCGGGCTTGGGCCTTGTATTTGGCGAACCGGCAGGGTCAGGCCCAGGTCCGGGCCGAATTGATTTCTTTTTTTTATTGTTTTTTCATTTTTTGGGGTTACCCGGGTTGGGCTTGATTAGGGCTGGACTCGGGCCGGGCGGCCCGAACCGGAACCGGCCCGGCCCGGTTACTGTGCGAACCGGCCCGGCCCGGTGGCCCGGTCCACCGGCGGTTCGGGTCGAACCGGCCCGGTGGATACCGGTTCCGGGCCCGGGCCCTCCATTTGGTGAACCGGCCCGGCCGGTTCGGGCCCGGTCCGGGCCGGAATAATTTTTTTTTTATTTTTTTTTTTGAAATTTTTTTAATTTTTGGGTTGGATTAGTTATTTTGGGCCATTTGAGGTGGTTTGGGGTGGTTTGGGGTTGAGGAGAAGGGGTAGAGGGTTAAATAAAAGAAGCCAAAAATTTAAAAAAAAAATAGGGGCGGGTGAACCGGCCCGGAACCGGCCCGGTCGGGCCCGGAACCGGCCCGGAACCGGTCACCGCCGGTTCGGGCCCGGGCCCTCCTATTGGTGAACCGAGGCCCGGCCGGTTCAAGGCCCGAACCGGGCCCGGCCCGAACCGAGTCCAGCCCTAGGCTTGATGGTTAGGAGGGGTTTGGGGGGTGAGGGGGGGTTCCGGGGTTAGGAAAGCAAAAAAAAATGACCAAACCGGACGCCCGGCCCGGCCCGGACCCGGTGGCTACCCGGGCCGGTCCCGGGCCTTCCTTCCCAAAATAAAGCCCGGACGGGCCCGGCCCGGAACCAGCCCGGGTCCATGAGTAATACTAAACAATCTAAACAAACTTTAAAAATGCATCAGTCACATTTTACTGTCCTTGTGCATTTTTTGAAAGTGAACACAAACATAAAAACACTTTCTTAGTATTGTATTTTTTCTCAAGTATTTTTGGGGATCCAATCATGTCCAAAGTAAATGTAGGTTCAAAATCTAAGATAGATTTCATACAGTCATCGTACAGGAGAACACAGATTTACCAAAAAGCAAGAAAACCAAAAAAAGAATGACTTGGGGGTAATCTTTTATTTGATGATGGAAATATATAGCACTCAATCAGCCTCCAGAATTGGGAGCACAATCCGCAGGATCATCATTCTTTGTATTTGCTGCTATCACACAAAAGCACGCAATCCTTCATGTCTCACATAAAATCATAGTCGTCATAACCATCATATGCATTGACTACAGCTTCATCATCTGCTCGGTCAACAAGCAGCTGCTTCTTCTTTCCACCTGTTTTGCAGAAGGAAAAACGAAAAATCAAACTAACTCCTTTTAAGCTTTATTACTATAACAAGGGTTCATATAGTAAGTTACTCAAAAAAAAAAGGATGGCAGCCCATTCCTAAGGGCCCACAGAACCGACCGGACAATTATCTGAGGATGTAAATTGAGTTTTGATCTCACTCTGATGGAAAGAGAGTGAGGTTCAATCCCAAGTCATTGCTTGGAGTTGAACCCGAGACCTCTCCCTTGCGGCACCCCCTTCCTAACAGGTGAGCTACGCCCTCCGATGAGTTATGTACTACTCAAAAAGTAGTACTACTTTTGAGTAACTTTTTGGCAAGTTACTCAAAAAGTAACTTATGTACTACTTTTTCCATTATCAGCCCATTTAAGTAATCACTTCATAACCTGATAGGTATGACAACCAAACACACACTAAATCTGAATTTGAAGGAAAAAGGTCTATTTTGTTTGGTGAAGCAATACCTGTCTTCTTTTTTCCAGCATTGGCTTCTTTTTCGGCTTTGATTTTTTCATTTGCAATTGCAGTAACTGAAGAGGCCAGTTCTTTAGCATCTTGCCCCTTCAATGATGTCATTGCCAGTCTCATTACATCCTTGAGTAACCCAATGTAGAAGTAGCTTTTCTGGGTACAGAAATGACAGCACATCCATAATTCTAGATACAGCATATATAAAGTAAAATAAAATCCACCATTGTAATTCACATTTGGCAAACCTCATAAGGCCGTAACTTATGAGAAATGAGCTCTGCGTATTCGACAAAGTCACTTTCGCTTTTGGGAATGAAATTTTCAAGGGTCTTCTCATCACCTTTCTTAGCAAACAATTCTGCTGTTGACTTATAATCAGCTTCTTCTACTAACCTGTGAAATAAGAAGATACTATGGTTCATGAAGCACTAAACATAGAGGGAAACACCAGCAGCTGTATATAAATAATTGCGTTCTAGCTTTTGGGTGTTTGAAGAAAAATGGAGAACTTGACCCTTTAAGCATTATATTTTCATGAATGACGCTTATAGAACTGAAACACAATACTATATATCTCTGCAGGGGGGATATTTGGGAAAAAGTTGAGTAATTTACTCCAAGACACCAATCTACAATTTAGTCCCTAGAGTAAATATAAATGACAATTTAACCATATAAATAGTCATGGATGATACCTATAGAACTGAAACATCATAGAATATATAGATATTAACCAGAATTGTGGGTTTCCCAAAGGTTTTTATATTTTTATTGCACCTTAAAAAGTTTCCCAAGTAATTTAGTCTAAAACACTCGATTTCTACTAATATCGAAATAATATTCTATAGTATTTCAATTTCATTTACGAAAATATTTAATGGTTAAGTGGTGTTTTTGTCATTTCCAAAAACCTGAAGGATTATACAGTAATTTCACTAAACCTATTGATTGGTGGATGTAATTGATTCAAAGATTGAAAATAGATAGGACACATTATTGTTGCAATCTCCACAATTACATAAGTCCATCCTTTTAAATTTTGGTGAAAGATACTTCTGTCATTTTAAGAATAGTACAAACTACAAAGCATCAAGGCTTTATCTTAGAAAAACACTTTATCTTATCTTTCTTTCCACTTTCTGCATTCTAGACGACACTACTAATACTCTTAATTGCACCTATTTCTTTTTTCCTACTGTCATTCTCAACGTACCTCCTAAACATAATAAAACATCAAAGAATGTCTATGAAGCACGGAAACTCTGGGGAAATAGTTTGTTTCCACTTCGGAAACTCTCCATAGTCCAAGCAATTGTTTTCTATTAGAAGATGATATTTCTCATTTCATGTTTCCCCCATGTTTCCCACATTTCCGTGAAACATAGAAGAATTTAGATAGAGGTAAGATTAGCAAAAATAAAACACATATATCATGTGTACAAATTTGTTACCTCTGCTGGCGTAGTTTCTCAGCTACTGGATCTAAAGGCTCCTCTTGTGCAATTTTAACCGCTTTCCCTTTTGCTTCAGTTGCTTTGGTGGCAGGCTTTTTTGAAGCCTTTTCAGCAGGAGCCACCACAGGTTGAGGTGCCTGATTAGATTAATATGATCATGGTTTAAATAACGTAGATGTATGAAACTTAAATATTTATAAATCAGAGGATGAGAGTGACTTACTGGAGTAGGCTCTTCATCCTCCTCTTCCCAAGAGTCTTTAATGTCATTTTCATCAACATCCTCGTCATCCCATTTATTCAGGGGTTGCACCTTTTTTAGAATGTCTGGAATAACCACTTCATCCTCTGACCAATAAAATGGTGTTAGAACATTCCAGAAACAAGTTCAGTTGACAAGCTAATTGGAAACACATTTTCACCTCATTTTTTGGTACTCTATCTATGGTTTATCCCAGTTTGACAATAAATACTACTTCACTTCTGCATTTGAAAAAAATAGTAAATGTGGATACTAAATTACAAAAAAAAGGTTTAGAACACAATCCATTAGGAAAGCTATTTTCCAATAGTGACTTGATGTGTACTTAGAGAGAGATGACTAGAAAGAGTGACCTAGTTGTGGTGTGTACAGAGAGATGACTATAAAGAGTGTCCTAGTCATCATAGACTCATAAATCCTCGTATTTTATGGTTTAACCCAATTTGAAAGAAAACACCGTTTTGGTTTTGCTTTGAAAAAATGTACAACAATACATGATAGAGTGATGATAGTAACTATGATTCTATTTTAAATATATCAAAGTCTCACTGAGTATTTAGTATTTTCTTTACCTGTTTACTCCCACCTAGCTAACTAGCTTCATTTATCTTAAAAGGCATACAACTTTTGGCATTTTGAATCTCAATCCTTGTGGTACATTACTAAAGTTGAATTTATGATGAAAAAATATGTCAAATTTGGTTAATTTGACAAAAAACAGAATAACTGGGTAAGGTCACCTACGAAATAGATTTCTAATCTGCTGCGCAAGTAGGCATGGCAATGGGTCAGGGTGGGGCGGGTACTGCAAGACCCGGACCCGCCCCATGACTTGGCGGGGCGGGTCCGCCCCGCCCCGTGACTTGCACGGGTCCAAACTTGTTGACCCGTGACCCGCCCCATGCGGGGCAGGTCTGCTCCGCCCCGCCTTAACCTAATTAGCTAATATGTATTTCTATTTGTGAGAAGTTGTTACCAATTGAATCTACATAAAGTTTATCTCTGAATAATAATAATTAAAAATTAATATATTAAATCAAATTCATGATACGCTAAAAATTTCAAAAATTGAGGAAAAATTACTCAGACTTAAAAACTACTCAAAAATCAAATTCATGATACGCTATATATAACGCATACATTCATAATCCGTCGTTCATCTCATTCGAATATATTTATTAATATATATAAGATCAAAGAATTTAATATTTATTGTATACACACATATGAATGTTGAAATATATTTGTAGTATAATTTAAGAAAAAGTATGTACACTTTTATATTGAGCGGGGCGGGTCGGGGCGGGTCGGGGCGGGTCGGGGCAGCACGGGTAAATACTAAGACCCGGACCCGCCCCATTGTATAGACGGGGCGGGGCGGACCCGCCCCATTTGCAAGACGGGGCAGGGCGGACCCGCCCCAAATGTCTCGGGCCAGGGCGGGTCATTGCGGGTCGGTTTTTTTTTACATCCCTATGCGCAAGGGGCTAGATGGAGAGGTATAGAGAAGTATTTGGATTTCTAATCTTAGAAACAACAGCATCACGTCAATTGATCAATAAACACAGAATTATGGAAAACTAGATAATGGTGTGTGTAACGGAAAGCACATGTGACACACCTTATCCAGTATACCATTTTTTTAATAGGAAAAATTCAAGAACTTCTATTTTTTCTAAATTTGAAAATAATACTTTTGAATGTGTTCTCGGGAAAGGAAACTTTGAAAACTTTGTGTTTGGAAACCATAAGAAACTCTAGAAAAACTGAAACTATGTGCTATTATGGCATGTTGTAAACTGGAAAACATGTTAACTCATAGAAGCAAACAAATTATAGAAGCAAACAAATTAGATTCCTGATATTCAATGATAGGAGTGTTCTAAGAATTAAGGAGCTCTTAAGATCATTTGCAATACACAATAAACTACATCTAGAATCAGTTTGGGAAGTTTTATTCAGGGTTCATCCATTAATTTCATTAGAGTATCGGATAGTTTCGTCAGAAATATCCTACAATCCATTTAAGTAAGCTGTAAAAGGAGTGTAAAAGTTCTAAATAACATATGTAGATCACTTGTAAAATAATCATACTGAAGAAGTATCAGTTTGCAAAAGTTATACAGTGTAGAATATAACTTGATCCCCAAAGGGGTTAGAGAACTAATGTTTAGTTGACATGCATGTGCAAAGGTGAAAATACCTTAAACTATAATTGGTCTTCATATTGAAAAAACAAAAAGTTCAACACTTTTCATAAGGGAGACAATTCATCCCTTTTTGCGATAAGTAAGAAACTGAATCTTCAAATCAGCGCAAATACTTAAAACTATAAAATTAACACAGGGTTATGAGTGAAATTGTGGTAGGAAAGAGTAATGTACCCCAAGTTTCCATCTCTTTTTCTTCTTTATAGTTCACCAGCAGTTGCAGCTTACTAGCTGTGTTTTCAGATTAAAGGGAGCAAGTCTTCCTTATTATCACCTACCAACCAAACAACATAGAAATTCTATGATAGAATTTTTAAAGATCAACATCCGCATAAAGGCGATAACTTTCTACAAGGAGGTGTCATCACTGTATAAAATCCCAGGAAGAAACAACTGTAGAATCCCAAATCAAGACTATTGTTTTGGTTTGGGAATATTTGATAAAGGTTGGAAGTTTAAGTAGCGAAGACCGGAGACGAGGCGTAGAACACAAAATACCTGGATTTGGGAGCAGAGTGAACCGTAAATTAGGAAGCCAGAGATCAAGGGAAATCGTGGACTGCTTTTCTTCTAGGGTTGTAGTATATTAGAATAGAATGATTCGGAGTTACGCGAGTAAGGTAGAATGTAAATTTGGGCCCATGTCTTAACCCGGCCCAAATATTTATTACCAATACTGCATTCGTAACATTCATATCTTCTCATTTAAAAGTAGGCGAGGTTATGAATATTAAAAGATAATACTCCGTATAAATTAATGAAGGTATGATATGAAAACCGAAAATAATGAAATGGTATGATGGAATGAAAGATAAATCTAAAGAAAGTAGTTGTAATAGTGTATTATTTTCAAAATTATTGGGCGTATGATCAAAAGATTCAGAAATAGGAAAATATGGATGTTACAGTTGAAAAAAGAAAATGAGAAGATATGAATGTTATGAAGAGCGTAATCCGTAATAGTAGTAATTATTCTGCCACTAAATATTTCCTTTATTATTTATCCTAAAATTATCATTCATTTTTTGAATAGAGTAATATACATAACGCAATATTTCTCTATAACTTCCTTTTAGAGAATCAAAAGGAAATTACCGATAACAATTTATATGGCCTTTAATTGTATGAGTGCGCCATAATAATTTTGAAAGTGTTGTTTTTATTTATAAACGGGAAAGTATATCTAGAGAATTATCATTCATTTTTAGAGAAATACGGAGTATTATGTTATGTACATTAATAGTAAGAGAATTGTCATTTCCAGGGGCGGTCCTGTACATTTGAAGGCCTAGGGGCGAACAATATAAAATGGGCCTAATTCTAAAAAAAATTGTAAATCACGTTTCTATCTAAACTAGAATGCAAAATAATAATATTTGAATACTTTTATAATAAAGAAAATACTAGAATTCGTTAAATTAATCATAGTCATATCATGTTTTCAAAATAACCAAATGAAAATTACTTAAATACATTCCTTGCTGAACACTGTGAAGCAAAGTCGTCAACTATAGCGTCATAATCAAGCTTTTCTAACACATTATGCTCAATGCTTAATATAGCTAATCCATTAAGCCTTTCTTGAGACATTGTTGATCGCAGATAATTTTTGAGAATCTTCAACTTTGAAAAACTTCTTTCAGCAGTGGCCACAGTTACCGGTACTGTCAATAGTATCCTATAAGCAATTGTTGTGTTTGGATAGCAGCCCATAATCTTCACAAAATCAAGAATTTGAATGACAGTGTCTTTGTCATCCGGTAAAACGTTTTGCAACATTTTCAATTCTTGAAAGAGATCATCCCTATCAACATCTTCTTTATCACCATCCTGCAAAGCATCCGCAAGTATCTCACAGCATTCTTTCAGTTTATCATGAACCAACGATTTCAAGTTCCTTGAGCTAAACAGAAAGCCAAATATACGCTGAAACTCTTTCATCTGATCAAATCTAGTTTGCAAAGACATCAAAGCGGCATCCATCACAACATTGAAATAAAAACACTTAAAAGAATCTTCTGGAGACTTATCTTCATCATCTTCTTCATTGTCTTCATCAAAATACTTTTTTCTACGCGTCAATCGTTTCTTAGGAAATCCAGGTTCCAATCCCATGTCAAGAGCAATGCTTGTTGCGGTGTTCAGAGCAGCTTCAAACCCTTCTTCTCTATACTTGTTTAAATGAATAATCAAATCATTCATATTCATCACACAAGTATCAATGCACATATCTTCACTTTGTAACAATTTGCTAACCTGTTTAATTAAATGAATAATCAAGTCACTAATTAATATTCATAACACAAGTATCAATGCACATATATTCACTTTATAATGATTTACTGACCTGATTAATCGGGCGCAAAACTTCATACCATATTGTCATTCCCAGTAAGAACTCAAATTTCTCTAGCTGTTTGAGTACACTTTTAACATCACTTTTTGACGAATAATCAGGACAATCTTTTCCCAATTCAATCAAAGCTTCTCTTATTTGAGTGGTTTGGGTTGCAATTGCTTTCACACTTTCTAGGCGGCACTCCCAACGCGTGGTGGACAATGATTTCAAAGTAAAACCATGTACACATTCTTTCAAAATTGCCCATCTTTTTGTTGAACCAGAAAATAATGTATACAATTTTTGAACACATCCAAAAAATGTAATAGCTCTAGAACAAGAATTTACCATATCTGAAATGGTTAAATTAAGACTATGACAAGCACACGGCATGTAAAAAGCTCTTCGATTAATGTCAAGCAATCTTCTTTGAACACCTTGATGCTTGCCTTTCATGTTAGAGCCATTATCATATCCTTGTCCACGTACATCATCAATGTCAAGTTCGCATAAAGCCAAAATACTCTCTAATTCAGTAAAGAGCCCTAACCCAGATGTATCAAGCACTTCGATAAACTCTAAGAAAAATTCCAAAACTTGAGGTGTGTTTGATGACATATCCACACACCTTACTATCAAAGTCATTTGCTCTTTGTGACTGGAATCGGGTGTGCAATCAAGAATGATTGAAAAATACTTAGCAGCTTTGATCTGTGTAATAATTGCACTTTTAACACCGGAAGCTAACTTCGAAATCAATTCATTCTGAATTTTGTGACTAAGATAATGATAATGAATCTCTTTAGATTGAATACGTCTCAAATGCTCTTGCATAACCGGATCAAACTCAGCAAGCATCTCAATGATAGCTAAAAAATTTCCATTGTTTTCTTCATATATTTTCTCAGATTTTCCACGAAAAGCAATGGATTTTTTTGCAAGAGTCTTAACTAAAGCAATTATTCTCTTAAGAACATCTCTCCAATGTTGCTTCTCTTTGGCAAGTTTTTCTTGAATAGCAAAATCGATAGTTTTTCCTTTTGCCAATCTCATCTTCATATCAATCCATTTTTGCACATAACCAAAGTGTAGAAAACTTTTTTCATGACTAGAAAGTTTCTCACTCAAATGTTTCCAATCATTTGACCCTTCATTAGCTAAAAGACTAGGCCCCTCTTTTGTTTTGAACAACTTGCAACAAAAACAAAACACTTTATCCACCTTTTTTGAGTACACCAACCACGGCCTATCTTCACTTTCTTTATTTTTCATGTTTCTAGTGTAGTACGCATTGGAAAAATGTCTACCCTTAGCATCAAGAGGATAATCGAGTTGCATATCTCTTATAGGGCCTTTTTCAATTACAATGTCTATGGTTTTGGCATCTAAATTCTTCCAATCAGCAGGGTCATAAATATCCAAAACCAAAGGACCAACAATTGGAGGTACTACATTTGATCTATCCGAATCATTTTTCGGTTGCTCACCACCAATGTTATCAACTCCTAAATTCTCACTTCGCATGACTTGATCATTATGAACTGTTTCGCTTTCGTTAGCTGAATCATTCTTCTCCCCTAAATTTTTATCTTCAGAAGGACCTTCAGATTTTTTCTTCTTCGTAAAAACAAACTTTTCCATTACACCTTTTTGACTTAGGGCAGCATTTTCTAATCTTCTTTTCCTCGATAGTTTATCCCATCCGGATTCAACCATTTTTATCAAACCTTGAAATTAGTTAAGTTTATAAATTTAATTATTGTTGAGGTTTTGTCCCGCAGATCCGGAAGCCCAACATAAACTTCGAATATTAGGGACGATCGATTCGGTATAAACATAAATAAAATATATATAAGGTGTATGAACTAGCTATTTTTACGTGGAAACCCGGAAAGGGAGAAAACCACGGGACTTTTTAGGCTAACGTCCAAGCCCGCTCTTTTTCATTAATATGCTCTCCTCACCAATTACATATTACAACTCTTGAACTCCATTAATGGAGGTATAAAGCTATCTATCAAAGGGGAAGAAGAAGTATGGAGGAGGAGAGCCAAAAGATCAGATCTTTTGAGTGAAAGCCTTCCTTCCTATTTATAGGAAAAAGGGGAGGGCTTTTCTATTCTAATAAGGCCTTAATGGGCCGAAGCAGGCCCATGTGGGCCGAAAATGGGCCGGTTGGCCTAAATGGGTCTCGCCAAATGGGCCCCGTACCGGGGTGGTGTCTTGGGCATCTGAACAGTAGTAGGCCGGGATATTATTCCCCAACACAAGTCCCCCAGTTTCTTGAGTAGTGAGCCTGTGAATCTGCTCGAGAAAGTATACTCTTGCTCACGTCCTTCCCTGAATCAGTGCTTGAATAGTCTTGGACGCAAGGCATGCATAAATGATGAACGAGGTGCAGTCCCTCGCTAGGCACGGCGGCGCTGAAAAGCCAGCCGCTCGTGCTGTATAAAGCGGCGCTCGCCATCCCAGATCAAGGATGGACGAGCCCGACCGAGAGCCAGGCACGACGGTGCTGTGGAGACCGTGCGTGCTGCATAAGAGCGACGGTTGCCATCCCAGAGAAAAGATGGATGAGCCCGCCAGAAAGCCATGCACGACGGTACTGTGGAGCCCGTTCGTGCTGCATAAGAGCGACGGTTGCCGTCCCAGAGCAAGGATGGACGAGCCCGCCAGAAAGCCAGGCACGACGGTGCTGTGGAGCCCGTACGTGCTGCATAAGAGCGACGGTTGCCATCCCAGAGCAAGGATGGACGAGCCCGCCAGAAAGCCAGGCACGACGGTGCTGTGGAGCCCGTACGTGCTGCATAAGAGCGACGGTTGCCATCCTATAGCAAGGATGGACGAGCCCGCCAGAAAGCCAAGCACGACGGTGCTGTGGAGCCCGTACGTGCTGCATAAGAGCGACGGTTGCCATCCTATAGTAAGGATAGATGAGCCCGCCAGAAAGCCAGGCACGACGGTGCTGTGGAGCCCGTACGTGCTGCATAAGAGCGACGGTTGCCATCCTATAGCAAGGATGGACGAGCCCGCCAGAAAGCCAGGCACGACGGTGCTATGGAGCCCGAACGTGCTGCATAAAATAAGCGATCGTCATCCTAGATTAAGGATGGACCAACCTGACTCGGACAGACATGGACTTGACTCGACTCAGACAGACCTGGACTTGACTCAGACAGACATGGACTTGACTCGACTCAGACACACCTGGACTTGACTCGTCCGCAAGGCAATCACCTCTTGCTGCCTGCTGCCTTGTAGGCCCAAGGCTGATGTAACGTGTTCGTGTTATCATCCGTGTTCTTCCTGATCTGCAAGGCAATCACCTCTTGCTGCAAGACAGTTTCACAATTTGTGTAGTGTCTGCCATCTTCCAAACCCATAATTCCGATGCATACCGTCGGTTTTACCGTCCGGGGTCATCCATATCATGAGGTTGAGATGTCCATCCTGGACCATTGAAAATAAGGCTCCCAAACCGGGTCTCCCCCTTATTCTCTGCCAAAATGGAGACTCGCCTCCAGGTTACAGCTCGGGTTCCACCACAATAAATCACTACATCGTGGTTCGGGCGAGCTGCATAGCCAAGGCAAGATTTTAAGACCAGAGTCCCGATCCCCCGCTCGGTCACCCTATGACTTCGGATGCCGCCCGGTTCGTCCTACTCAAGATCTTTTACACCATCTCCCAAGCTGAGTCCGGGCTTGGTTAACCTGCATCTTTTTTTTTTTTTTTTTTTTTTTTTTTTGTGCTGAGATGGTGGCTCCCCATGGATCGAGACAAGTGGTATCTATCGATCGAGGTGAGACTTTATGGAATGTGAAGATGCTTCCTAAGCAAATGATGTCGTGTCGTGGGGCCGATCATGATATGAGGAACATCAATAAATCCAAGGGTCTTGCGAGCGCCCTCTGCTCAAGGACAGCGGCAGCAACTGCGGCAGCGATCCACAAAATGTAGCCAACCTGAAAATCAAGCAGCGGTCCTTATCCGCGCAGTGCGGGGACGAGGCCGGTCTTCAAATATGATAATGGCACCGTACCAGAGGGTCGGTGGCCATGTAATGAGGTCGCCACTGGGGGGCTGATCGGAAAGGAACAAGCAACGGTCCTTATCTGCGCAGTGCGGGGACAAGGCCGGTCTTCAAATATGATAATGGCACCGTACCAGAAGATCGGTGGCCATGTAAAGATGTCGCCACTGGGGGCTGATCGGAAAGTAACGAGCAACGGTCCTTATCTGCGCAGTGAGGGGACAAGGCCGGTCTTCAAAATGATCACCATGCCGAGCCAGAAGAGTCGGTTGTGGTGAGAGAAAAGTCGGCGCTGGGAGGCCGATCTGTAAATCCGAGGATCTTACAGGCGCCCTCAGCCCATAACGTTGCTCTAGGTGCCGAACGGCGGAGGCCGGATTGCCAGTCAGGTAGCGTAATCTGAAAGCTCGTGTATCGTATAGTCCATAGAACTTCCCTTCATGTGTTGTGACATCCATACATTTGTAGTCTCTTCTTTTCTCAATCGTCCATGATTCCTTCTACACACTAGTAACCTCACTCTCTCTCTCTCCTTTTTTTTTTTCTTCTCTTTCTTTATTTTTTTTTTTTTTTTCTACATTCTTTATTTTTTTCTTGCGTTTCCCGATCTTCCCGTCCGGTCTGACCGAACCGCTCTAAATGTAAATGTTCCTTCTTTTTGTTGCCAATCATGAGCGTCTCTGCGCGTCACATCGAACGTCATGAACATCTCTGTGCGTCATGAACGTCTTTGAATAAATGTGATTCTTTTCTTGTTGTCGGGCATGAACGTCTACGCGCTTCATGCTGAATCGTCATGAACATCTACGTGAATCATGACCTCCCGTTCGAGAATATCTCAAGAATCTCACTGCACAGTAAGCATGGTAATACAGCCGTACGGCCGAACAACATATACAAGTATATACAATTACACACATGTTTAACATTTCCCTTTTATTCTTTATTTTTCATCCATGACTATCGGCCGAAGCGGTAATGATAACCCTTGGCCTAGATTCATTTCTTGATCTGTTAGAGTCCACGACTCGAACCATCTAGTGTTTTGTCGGGTATTCAAGTACGTATTTCACCCCGTACTGGGTACAGTTGCTGTTCGGGCACTCAATGCCGAACGAGACCATGAGT